GAAAATTTGAAACTAATAGATGGTTATGGTTTGAATTAGGTGGGAAAATTCCCGCCCACTCCTTCGCCAGTACAAATCACTGTCACGGTCTCATCAGTGGTACGAATTCCTCGTTTCTCCCATCCTATTCCCCATCTGTAATTTTACAAAATTAAGTCCCAACGTTGGTTTCTAACATACCATCTAAAGGTTTTACATCAAATATGGTATATGTTGTCATTGTTTTGGTATATATATCACACAAAACGTTAAGCACTTAAACTGTCCTGTCTTCAAACACACTCTTCGATGGTAAGTATATAGTCAGGTACATCATATACACTTTAACCTTCCCCCACCACAGTGTAAAATAATCTCTCAGCCACTGTAAAAAGTAAAAATGGCTAGGAAGCCAATGTCCATTACCCACCGTCTTTTCGCCCGACAAATTAATAGCAACAAATTCGTGACGCTGAAACTACATCCGAAAAACTGCTGCTACTTCCAAACAATCAATCCAAATAACCCAAAGCTCGACTACACAAAGTGTAAGTACTACGTTAGCGAAGCTGCAGCGACGTTGGATGACGCCATTCCAAATGAACTTGTGCGTGATGAAATATTGGCGTCGCGGGAGGTTAAGGATTTGTTAAGGTGGTTTGGAACGACGGCCAGGTTCATGAATGCAGGAGATGATAAGGTCGAACCTTCCCATGTACCACACATGGAGGACCTAGGCGATTATACAGGAAAACTTGTCGATTTTTTCAAATTGGTGCTTTGCAAATAGTGTGGAGGACACAGTGGTTCCTGGATTCTTACTTCCCTTGGTTGATCTAGAGCCCATAGTTCAGCCGGAATTGACTACTTGCTACAGGTTACCTCAGGCGCCCGCCTACCTATTCATAGGATCATTTATAGATACGTTGCACGTAATGGTTGTGGACACCGAGGTTTATAATATGTACATCAAAGTAGAATCACTTGAACTGAGCAAGAGAAAAAGAAGGTACTTTGCCTTGAAGGTCAGTTCTATTTCACTTGTTGCAGATAACAGAGACCCTTTTGAAATTGAATACCACATTGTGTTCTGGAATGCAAGAGTCTTAACTAGACGGTCTTTCATGGACAATTTTTGGAAAATAGATGACTACTTCAACCTAGTAGTCATTATAATCACGGAAAGCCGCTTTCTAAATTCACTTACCAACTGGTTGTGGCAACAATTACCTCGTTTCTACGCAGTAAAAGCGTATGGAGATGACGGACCTAGAGGTGTTGTTATGGTATGGAATGCAACTGGGTTTAAGCCACGATACATGCACCAAGATATAGGAGTGAGATTTGGTCTGCCGCTGGAAGTGGAGTTTAAGGTAATATTTTGTTCAGTTAATCAAAAACTTTTTGTAATCCCTACCAATAAAAGTAACTATCTTCCTTATTTATTTTAAATCATTCGAAAACTCATATTCAGCCTTTAAGATGAGTTCATAGTACAAATTCATTATATGTTACCTGTTGTTAGTCGTATGCATTAATAAGTTGGTACAGGAAAATTAAACTGGAATACCGTGATGTGATTATCTTTTTTATGATCGTTTATGGTATTGTTATCGTACTTGTTTATTCTGGCTTATCATATGATGGTAACGTGCTATTGAGATTATTCTGGTATTGTTATCGTACTTGTTTATTCTGGTTTATCACACTGCTATGTTGGTATCGTGATATGTTAGCTTATTTACGATCGTTTTTGGTATTGTTATCGTACTCGTTTATTCTGGTGTATCACATAGATAAGTTGGTATCTAGTCCTACAATGTCTACTAAAGTTTGATTATCACATTTCGTTAAACTACTTTCATTTTTTTAATATTTTCTAGTCTTCCTTAAATACAGACATACAAGAATGATGGCACTGAGAACTACAAGCCAGAGCAAGATGATGTAACAGAGATTATGCAAGAATTAGAGGAAGAACAACAGAGTGGGTACGACCCAATGGAATAATTGTTTGAGAACACCGGATTGTTTGACGAGGAAACTAATCTGTTTGAACATGACCTTTGAATCTGTGAATGTAATTCGTATTTTAATTAGTGTATCCGCTATCCTCTACAGTTCTAAATTGTTACTACTAATTTATATACAGCTTAAGTTTCTTCTGTGTAATTGACCAACAATTTATATAACTATATATATAACTATTACTGTTGATCCATTGACTCATTAACTAAATATACATTTTACACTATAAAACTGCATTGTTTTTCCTCTACTAAAACATTGTACAACTACAATTTAGTTCATCTGCTAAAATTAATAGTAAAATATTAAAGTGTGGTTGTGTTCGATATTTGAATTCCTCCCACGGATGAATAATTTATTGGAGGGGGACCTTGAACATTGTTATAGGGGACTTGAACATTGTTATGGGGGCCTTGAACATCGGGGGTAAAAAAATGCGTTGGTTACAGTTACCACGAGCTGTTGGATTAGGTTGGCTGGGACCAATAAACATATCTACTGGGCCAGTTACTCCACCACAATCCCGCTGCTTCTTGCTTACCACCTGGTGGTTGTTGTGTTGTTGATGGGAAAATAGTTGTTGTTCAAATAGCTAGCTGCTGCTGTTGGCTCTGTTGTTGATAGACAAATAGATGCTGCTGTTGGCTTTGTTGTTGATAGACAAATAGCTGCTGCTGTTGGATCTGTTGGTTGCTCTGTTGTTGGCTCTGTTGTTGACCAAAGAAGTGCTGATGGTTCTGCTGCCCAAATTGCTGTTGTTGGTTCTACTACCACAACAGTTGTTGTTGGTTCTGCTTCCTTTGCTCTTTATTTTGCTTCCTCAGTGTATTAAAGAGTGACTGAAACTCCGTTTCCCATTCTCATCACGTGACTCCTTTTCCTTTTCCATCATTTTGCTTTATTTTTTATTAACAGGAGAAATTACATTGATACCCCCGGCTAGAGACATACTTGTATCTAGCTGCTAGAGGCTGAGAAGCGGTGAACTTCGTAAAGGTTCATCACCAACCCTTTGATGCAATATTACTAGGAGTATATTACTTCCTATAATACTACTACAAAAAACTATTTTTTCTCCGGATTGTTCAATTATACCATACTAAAGGAGCTTATACTAAAGTTGACGTAATGAATAAACTAGAGTGCGAGCAAACCGCGGAGAAATGGAGGTTGAATTGCCAAACTTTGTCAAGATGACGACAAGAATAGTATAATATCTAGATAATTAAGTAAAGGAGATAGAAACGATGGCGATGGTCGGCGTCAGAATTGGGGAAAATTGTCGGGGAAATCGCCCTTAATGGAGGAGAGAGAAAGTAACAGAGAAAAGTATTGTTTGGGAGGGGATAACAATGAAAGGTGGGTACCGCCGTACGAAGTATTGGGTAAGACTTGCCTGAGCGAATACTTTTATGTTTCAAAAACAATATCTATTTTCAATTAATTAATGAAATCTAAGATGTATTTCTTCGTTTCAAGTCTCTGTTTTTAAAAGTCTTACGTTATCACGTGGCGGTAATACTCCTAAGTTACTATCTTATCACGTTTTATAATCATTATTATTAGTGAGTAATTTGGCGGTGTTACAAGAAATAAGTCATGGAATCACATTCGCTCATATTGGCCTCTTCTTGATTCTTATTGTTAAAAATATTTCCTGCAATCTCAAAGGCATACAAACAAATATTCAATTCGCTCCAAACTATTATTAAACTAATTTGGTTGAATATTAATGCAACATATAATTCTAAAATATTGTGATCACTTCAATTAATAACAAGATTAAAAAGGAACCTAAACCGGTCGTCCAAATTATCTTATTAGGCGTGATCTTCGATTACATATTCCCTTAATTATGTAATATGGTGATCATAATAACAATAGAGTAAACATTAATATTGGAAGAAATTTAACTATAATATCGTTAGTCAAAATCAAATAATAATAAACCTAATCATGATATTATCAATATTAAAATAAAATAAGTAATTAAATTAATTAATTACTCACATTTCGCGCACTCCTTTAAATTGCTACATCACGAATGAATTGTTAGTAACTTCAATAAAAATTTAAATCAATTAAATTAAATTAAAAGTAGAGTTGATTTGGTCCAAACCCTCAACTATACCTTTCACGCCTTGGTTTAAGGACGGAACCTCGGGTCAAGTATGAACTCCTTGGAGTGCTTAAGGAATGTATGGTGGAAAAATAGGGAAGGCTAGAAATTAGGTTTAAGCAAGAGAGAGAATAGAGAAGGTTTTCATGTACAAGAGAGGAAGAGAGAATGATTTGGTCCCCCAAATTGATGACATTAGGTTCGTATTTATAGAGAAAATGCGTAGTGTGAAAAACGAAACCCTAGAAGTGAAGCGCCATGAAGATAAAACCTTAGAAAAACACCGTGTCACAGGGAAAAATACCGTGACACAGTATAGAGTGCCGTGACACGACACAGAACATCGTGGCGCGACATTTATGCCGCGACGCGGCAAATCCACTTTTTTACACGTTTTTAAAACTATGATAATTTTTTATCTGTAATCGGAATAAATCATATAATATATTGTTGGAAAGCTTATCAACTCTCTTTCCAACCCAATTAGAATCAGGTCAAAACCATTTGTAGATTTAAAGATATGGCCGTATTAGTGAAAGGGTATCGATTTTGGGCGGAGTTTAGCATTTTGCTCATACCTTTTTCGTTTTAAATCGGAATTGAGCTTATGATATACCATTGAAAAGCTTATTGAAATGCCTATCCAACCAAATAATATTTGGATCAAAATTATAGGGCCACAAAATCTGTTTAGATCGGTTTTATAGTGTGGACACGAAAAGAAGAAAATAAGGAAAATGAGCTAAGAATTAGGTTGGTTTATTGAATGGAAATATGGATTAAGCACTCCAAAGATTAAATACTCAACCAGACAATGGTGGTGAAAGGTTGTTCATCATCGGGTTCGGATTTGTGGAAACATTTTTAGGTGTCTACAAGTACACTCTAGTTATCAAGAATTAGAAAGAATTATCTAAGGTAAGAGAACAAGTAACCGACATTCTAAATCTATATACAATGTAAGAAGAGCATGATTCAAATAATAAAAAATTACACTAAATTCATATACTTTGCATTCCTCCCATAAAAACAAAAGCCCACCAACTTCCATAATTTCTATTTTCTAACATATTCTTCTTCTTTTTCTTACAAAAATAATATTAACTAATTGTGAAGGGGAGAATATCCCAACATTCTCATCATTTAGATTCTAGTTGAGAGGTGAAACGCTAAAAAGTTGTAACCAAGTGTTATATCTAAGATTGAGGAATAATAAACACAATTTAAGAACAAAATGTTTTTTATTTTTGCAAAATGGCAATTCCAAAACTGGCTATAGCAGTAACAGTTATCTCAATAACCAAAAAAAGAATGAAAGAATTGAACAAGTCGTGGAGAGAACTCCAAAACTTCTTTAAGTACATTTACAAAAGAGATGATTTCTTGTAACAAATATATAAAACCTCTCAAATCTCTCACAAAAGCAGGTTGGAGATTTGATTCCAGCCTGCCATCCATGGTCTTTTATCACTTGGGAGTGCAAAGTTTAGCTCAAACATTTCCCTTGCTGCCTTTCCACTTTCGCAAAATCCAACAAGCTTAGCCACAATTTCCGCGCTTTCATGTACATGAAGCGAGTCATGGGGATTTGTCCAAAGCTTACTCACAAATTGCAATCTCCTATGTTTTCCTTCTAGAGAGACTCCCCATTTTATGTACAATGCTTCTCTTTCCTCAGCACTTAGGCGTGAGCTTACCCTCCTTGCAAGGAACTCCCTTTCGCGCTTCAATGCTCTGATACTACATTATGGATAGAAATAGAAAAGGCGGTCATAATTAACTTCTGACATTACTTATAGTGAAAAAAGATTAGATTGTGTAGGAATAAAGATGTAAGCAGAAGTTGATTAAGAAAGTACCTGGAAGAAATAGAAACTGTGGGTTCATCTCCACCAGGTCCACAATGAGCTGGACTTGCATCTCCGGTTTCTGCCAAGTGCTGGTGCAACCAAGTTAACCGCCTAAGCTCAACTTCGAAGTAAATTTGGTCAGCTGGGTCTCCTTTAAATAGCAGATAGAATTGAGTTCTGTGAATGATGGAAACATAGCAAACATCCCATAGTTCAATTATTTGCTGTCTTTGCTCCTTGAAAGTTACTTGCCATGAAACCTCAGGTTCATTTTCCTCGTAATCATCTTCATCATTCTCAATATCATAACCAGCGGCTTCATTTGCTTCCAACTCAAGCACCTGGTGAATTAATATTTTTTTTTTAAACAAGTATATTATAAATGCACATTACAATAAGATCTGTTTACAGTAACGCTATATGGAAGGAGTATTATAACTACCTGGCAAACAAGCAACTGCTTCTGATATTGCAGCTTTGCGACACGTTCTTTCAGTTCTGTAACATAAGCTCTTATGTTTCTCACATTCTCTTCTGCTGCATTCTGAAACATCTGTTTCATTTTCTTCATGTTAACTGAACTCGATCTTCTGTATCCTGAACCTTCCTTCGATGAAACATCACTAACAGCTTCTGTTTTTGTATGTGTTCCTTTCTCGACACCTTGTGCAGCTTCAGTAACAACAATGTTATCATTTACTGGATTCCTATTTTCAATGCCAGTCTCCACAACTTGGTCAGCAGCATACAAATGGGAGCATGGAGATCGTAAGAGATTCTGCCTGTTGGCACCATTGCTTGAACTTAAAGGAAGCAACTTTTTCTTTTTCGATTGGGATTTTGAGTTCTGAGTTACTTCACCATTAGGTTCATCGTTATTTGGAAGAGACAGTACTAGTTTGTCTATAGACTTTTGTACATTTTCAAGCTGCTCTTCAAGATCAGCTATTGTACTCCCTTGAGTATGAAGTCTAGTAATTTCTTCCTTCAGGTTGGCGCTCACACTTTTATTTGTGGCAACAACTGCTCCAGCCTCATCCACCGTGAGATCTGGCCTAACAGTACGCATTTCCCTTATCTCTGCCTGCAGCTTAGCAATTGTCTCAGCGGCATCTTGATTACCTAGCCTATGACAAGCAACCTCTTTTTGCAGCACTTCTAGAGCTCGATTGGCTTCATCTCCAAGCTGCTCCTGCAGTTGCTCAAGTTTCCTAATTTCGTGCATGAGGGTGAATGGAGCAGTAGATGACTTCCTCATAGATTGCCTGATAATTTTATTTTGTGTCTGATATCCCTGTTGCTTCCCATTTAAGTTGAAAGGCAATGTGCCAGAGAAGGAAAGACATTTTACAACTGGTCGAGGTGATTCATAGGGACCAATAACCTGAAATAGTCATCAGAAAATAGTTAGGAAAAAAAAAAAAAAAAAACTTGATTGGACAGAAGAGGGTAGGAGGGTGGAGAAGGATCAAAGATAAAGTTGAAAACCTTTTCCTCCTGCACCTTTTGTCGAAGCTCTTCTACTTCGGATAAGGCAAGATCTCTTTGACGTCTCAACTCTTCAATCTCCTTTTCCATCTAGAATGTAAGAAGAAAAATAATTTAGACAACAATTCATCAGCACCCAATGCCTTAAGCATCCCAATGAAGCAGAAAAAATAGTCACCTGGTGAATCTTCTGGTCCTTGTCTGATGCATCAGGGACACGTAACTCTGCTTCTAGTCTGGCAACCTCCTTCTGCAACTGTTTCACTAATTGCTTATCAGAGACAACCTGAAAATCAAATAGGATATATTATTAAGCCTTTGTCCAAGGAATTAAGATAGTTAAATGTTCATGAGTACATTATTTATATAGGTTCATAAAGCTTTAATCTCATCCATACCATGTTCACTTGAGCATTGTTGGTCACCTCCTTAGCTCGAGTAGCAAAATATAATGTGTTCCTTGTCTGCTCAACATGACTCGTTGCTGGACTCAACGTACAAATGATAGCAGTACGAGCATTCCCACCAAGAGAGTGTTGTAAAATTCTCGTAAGCTTAGAGTCACGGTAAGGTATGTGACCAGCACGCTTTGCTCCAGCACTGCATTGCAATATGAATGCCAAGCAATATCAGCAGTAGATCAATTACCTGGCACCCATCCTAGAGTCCCATTATGGCCAAAAAGCCAGGAAAGTTCTACGATTGTTACCATGTTTAAGAAGCAATTTTACTAGTGAAAAATTTAGGAGAGGAGGACATAATTTTTGACACACTAATGTATCAATCTGCGCAAAAAATGAACCAACTAAATGCATATGGGAGGAAAACCCCTTTACCTAAGCTTCCGAATCACTGTTGTCAGAGTCATCAGGCTCAGATTAATATGACAGCCTTCCCTGAGTCTGGCACCATCAGCATGTGTTTGTGCAGCTCTCTCACTTCCAGCAAGGTCGACAAAATTCTGCAAAAGCAAAAACAAATTCATAACACTACAGCAGTGAACATTACTGAAGAATGCCATAAAATAAATCTATGTAAGGTATTTACCAGGCTTGCAATGAAGGATCGGATACAGCCTGAATTTTCACGCTGTGTACTTTGTATTGTCTGCATTGTTAGGCACGTAATTAGTTAGAATCTGTCATTAAAATCCTGTCAGAGCCAATGAAAGATTCTTGAAACTAACCAGCCTAATAATTTGGTGAGATCGTGAACTATTATCATTGAGTGCAGTTTCACCCACTTGTCTTTGAGCTGAGCAAAAAAAAAAGAGTGTTTTCTATGGTAAGATTTTTAGTAAAACAATCACAAGCTGAAACAAGCTTTTCGAGCAGTTATCTTACCCTCGCATATGCTAATCAAGTGTCTCAGATGCCGGTCATCAGTAGCAGTTTCTTCAACTAGCTTCTCAACAACAGTACCTTTCTGCAGAGAAAAATAAAAACAGAATAAGAATAATACATATATTTTAGCAATCTAATGCGAGGAATCACTTTTAATGAACTAGTTTTGTTATAGTGAACACATACTTCTGGATCATCCAATAGCTTAAGGTTGCGACCAGACTCAGAATTCAGAAGATCCCTGACATTTTCATTATAGATTTCTAATCCAGAAATCCTAATAGTGAATTCTCTTTCCGGGGTCTGTATTCATGGAGCAAGTGTTTAGTTTTATAGCATATCAGCAGCTAGAAACATACTAATCTTAAACTGAACTTGTACATGATATAACCAAATATCTTACATTCATTATGTGGTTGTAAATATCTGTTACAGCTTTTTCTGTGATTCCTCGCATTGTATATGTCTTGCCACTACTTGTCTGTCCATAAGCAAATATAGTTGCTGCAAACAGAATTAAAGTTTAAATTTTCAAACCACCGCCAAAAAGAACCACACAATTGAAAACAATTAAAGCAATGCAAATGAAAACTACTCGTATTAATCAATAAGTAATGCATTACCATTGATACCCATCAAAGAGGACAAAGCCACATTTTTCACCCCATCCTCATACACAGTCTCAGTGATGGAGGCAGGACCAAAGACTTTATCTGAAAAGGTACACAATTTTCGACTCAGTCAACGAAAAACAATTGGTTTTATGAATCCGATTACTTGGATAAAAGGGATAAGTATACCGAATGTAAATGAAGATTGCTGCAAAGAACGATCATTATTAACAGTAGGCTTATGAAAAATTGTGTGTTCATCAACACATTCCCAAGCCACTTGGTCTTTAGCTGCCTGCTCTCGTCTGCTTAAAGGCCTCAACCTTACAGTCACGACGATTTTGTCTTCCTTGGCACCAGCTCTTGGTCCACCTGGTGTCGATGCAGGCGTTCTAGGTCCACCAGGTGTTGATGCAGGCGTTCTGGGCCCACCTGGTGTTGATGGTGTTGAGGTACCCTTTACTGTCATAATGTTTCTGCCTTTCAAATCAATCCAAAACAAATTCTTCAGTAATACTTAGTATATGATGATCACTTTAACCTAGTAATACATACATACTTATCCTATTAATTCATATATCCCATCAATAAATTTAAGTAGCGACATATCAGAAAATCTAATGATAAAAAACTACGACAGTAGCGATGATTACGCCAACTTCCAACTTCATTAATCTCAAGCTATAGTCATACTTGTTCTCTTATTTATATATCCCATAAATTAATTTAAGTTGTTAAATGGGGACACATATTAGAAAATCTGACATACAAATACAACTATGACAGTAGCAAGGATGAGTCCGATTTCCCAACTTCTTAAAAGTTATTTAGTATGATCTCCCATCAATTAATTTAACTTTGAGATTTAATCTATATCATTGATTAACATAAATTATGCAAATTGCTTACCCTTTACCTAAATTAAACAAATAATAACGTTCCAAATAAAGAAGTTGATCGGTTTGAATTATCCTCTTCCAAAATCAGAAATTGTACAAAACTTCTATTATTGAAATTTGACGCAACAAAAACTGAATTGAGTATTTGAGTAATCAAAATCAAAACAATAAAATTATAAATAATTAACTTACTGCGTCAACAATGGAAAATAGCAGCGGCAGAGAAGGAGAGGTGGTCGGAACTGAAGATGGTGGTTTTGTTGAAGGAGAGAGAAAGAGTAGTAAGGGTTTTTAATCAGATAAACAAAGAGTTTGAGAGAATGAACATCAAAGGAGAAAATACACTAAACAGATACAACGGCTCTTTTTCAGCGCTTCTGATATTTAATCGTTTTAAACACACAAACGGCCATTTTAAATTGTAACGGTTGTATTAATAATAAACGGTAATATGTGTATAAGACTATAACTCTATCAATTATATTTTAACTTTGTTGACCTTCATTTCGCAATTGCCTACATGCGGAATGTATATTATGTTGTATCATAATGTATATGGCTGTAGAAAGAACATATTGTTCAATTCTAATGTACACGAGTTATATTGAGTTTTTTTTTTTTTTTTTTTTTTTTTTTTTTTTTTTTTTTTTTTTGTTAAAATGGCAAAAAGATAAATAGTAAATATTTTTTTACCTTACAGTAATTTCAAATAATTTTATTTTTCTCTCTCTACAAGATTTAACTCCCAAAAAAGAAAAAACTGAAAACCACTTTACGTTCATCAAACCTTAATAAAGAAATAGTTAATTTCAAACTTCTTGGTGCAAAATTGTTCAAGATGGCTGACGAAAACAAAAGATAAGTACAATTTCGACATGCGTAGTTGTTCAATTTGAATTCGATTGGTAGTTTTTTTTTGCAAGTTCTTGGTGTAAATTTGTGATTTATGTGGTTTTGGTATTGGAATGAGAAAATATATGAAGTTCTTGAAGAAAACCGACCAATTATTACATTTTGAAAAAAAGAAAGCAAAAGCAAATTCAAAAAAAGTTGTAGATCTAAATAATACAATGTACATCAAAATATAGTAAAATGTTCTTTTCAATATTTATAAAGCGGATGTACATATTATAGAAACAAAATGAACATATCTATATTGTTACAATGAAAAGAACATACTATTAAAATACAATTAACATATACCTTAAGTGAAAAGAACCTACTATTAAAAAATAATGAATATATACCTAGAGTGAAAAGAACATGGGGCTATTTAATAATTTTCTTTATCTTCATGTTCTTTGATTGTCAGTATAATGTACAATTATTTGTGACATAAAATTAATTGTTTATTTTGAAATGTGCTTTAAATTTTTTTTTTAGATTATGGCGGTTGAATACAAATAATATTCATTACATTATATTATCATGTTCTTTAATAATATTACAAATGTTCTTTAGATATATATAAAGAACATATAGCTATGTTCTATACAAAACAAGTATATGTTCATTACAAAACAATTATATGTGATGTTCTTTATAAGATAAATATATGTTCTTTGCAAAACTACTAAATGTTCTAAACTGAACAACTATATGTTCATTCCGCCTTTTTTTTTAAAAATAAAACTGGATGCACGAAGCATCGTGCATTCGCCTGCAGGGAAAAATTTTCATTCTTCTTGTTCTTTTTCTGCACCTTTTACTTCAGCTGTTAATTTTGTCTCTCAGTTCTCACTAAACAAACCATCCATTTATAAAATAATTAGTTATAAGTATTTATTTCTTGAATCCTTTCGTCATATTTTTTTTCAAACGAGGGGCTAGGAAAACAAAACAAAATAAAAAAAAAACTAAGGGGGAAAACACCTACTAGATCATTATGTAAAATACGCCCTAGAGCTCTAGGGGAGACTTGAATAAATTCAAATTTGTTGTTCTAATGGACTCCTTGGTTTGCTAATCAATTAGCAACATGATTTGCTTCTCGATAAATATGCTTGACTTCTACTTCCCATGCTTGACTAGCAACAAGCTTCTTGCAATGAGCGATATCATGAAGGCATTCACCATTATAGTCACTCGTTTTGGCAAAAATCTGAACAACAGCTTGATTGTCCAATTAGACTTGTAATTTTTTTAATTCCCATTTTTTTTTGCCAACTCCAACCCATGTGCCACTGCCGAAACTTCTGCCTTAAAGGCAACACGGCTACCTAACCTTAGAGAATAAGCACAGCACAACACAACTTTCTTGTAGCATCCCTTATTAAGCCACTACCACCCCTTCAGGACCCGGGGCTCCCTTAGCCTCTCCATCAACATTCAATGCGTACCAATTTGTAGGAGGTGCATTATTCCATTTAATAAAGGTCTCTCTTCTTACGGGAGTTGAGAGAAACTAGTTATGCCATCACTAAGCACGCGCCAGACCTCCTCAAATCTGTCTAAAAATATTGTTTTATCCACTGAGATTTCACCTGAATGATTGAAAACAACCGCACTTTAATGTTCCTATTGATCCATTGTCTAAGAGACCCTCTTCTAAAATAAGTAGCATGAGCTGCTAGACCTGCAAGGATCATTAGTGAGTGATGATCGTTTAAAACGGTTTGCATTACACATGATTTTATCATGTAATACAAGCCATAAAAACACTCTAACACATTGCTGCACTCTCAAATGCCAAATCAAGTTCCAAGAACCATCTTTTTGCTCACCATTATCTTGTCTTATGATTTGTAAGGCATAATCAAACGATAGCCGACCCTTTGAACCCCCAGCCCAATGAATGAAGTCACCTTTATCTGGGGTTTTCAATCAAAGCATGAGCTTCAGTTTCTCGCAGAAAAAAAAAAAAAAAACCCACTTCCGCTCTTCAATCGCGTCCCACATTTTAGCCAGGGTGTCTCCTTCAATGTCCAATGGAATAAATGCAATAGCCACATCGCGCAACGTCTTCAAATTTACCCACCGATGGTCCCAGAACATAATATTTGTGCCATCAGTAACCGTTGTACGAGCCCCTTGATAAAGAATATAAGCATTCTCCTGGATACCCTTCTAAACATTAGACATATTAGACTTCGTTTTGAACATGTCCACATCACATCATCCTTTAGAATACTTACTTGTAAGTACTCCTGACCATAGAGCATTTGGTTCGGTAAGTAGACACCATATGAGCTTTGTTAAGAAGGCTGAGTTTGCTTATCTTGACAAACGAATACCCAAACCTCTCATCTCTTTCAGCTTCTGTAGGTTCTCCCAAGAAATAAGATGAATTCTTCTTTTTTCATCATCCCCTCCCCAAATGAATCTCCTAGTTCTTTTATCAATGTCGTCACAAGTAGTCCTCGGGATTCCAGCTGTTTGCATAGCATACGAATGAAGCCATTATGGTTAAGATAGTTTAATAAAGGGTAATACGGGTGGGCAAGCGAAAGGTGTATTGATTTCCACCCTGCCAAACGTCTATCAACTCTTTCACACATGTACCCAAAGGTTGCTCTTGTTACACGACTTGTTCAGGCTGGCATTCCCAAATACGTTCCCAAATGTTGGCCCGGTGTTACCAAGCAACCCAATAAACCTAGGGTATAGCCAAACACTCAAAAATACATCAAGAAGCAAGCAGCATCCTGATTGATACAAGTATAGCAAAGAAGATCATAAGCTCAATTAAGAAGATACTTGCCAAGAATACCCCTACTGATCAAGGAAAAGAATAAAATCAAGAAGATCTCCCACGTTCGAATATATTGTGTTATCTTTGTAACCTTAGCTATTCCTAGGTATATATAGCATAATTAGACATTATAATACTCATGTGCGCACACTCATACATTAATAGAAACGGATTACTCTACTTATTCTCTCGGGACCGTGACGTGTCCTTGCTGAACAAGGAAGCCTGTCCTTTCTCAATATTGTATCTCTAAACTTAATATTCTTTAATATAATCATTTACTTATTGCTTTATTGTTTCTCTTGGTTATAGTATTTGATATTTGTGGCTTGATTGTTATTACCCCTAAATCCCCAAGCAAATTCCTAGATGCCTTTCTTAAGATTTGCCTAAACACCAAATTTTTCGTTGCTTCAATCTCTAAGGTCCTGGCGATTTCAGAGGTGGCTGCATCATTCATGTTTTGAGAAAAATACACCCTAGACTTCGATCAACTAACTTTTTGGCCAGAAGAGTCACAAAAACGAGCTAAACATTGATTGATATTAGCTGCTTGGTCAATAGAAGTCTCTGCGAAACACTATAAGAAAATAGATCAAAGAGGACGATTTTATTCTGACAAAGAGGGCGACTTTAATTTGCCTTCTTAAACACCATCAAATAGAGCATATAGAGTTCGCCCTATTATATTGTTATCAAAAAGGGCGAAAATTTAGTCGTTGTCTTAGAGCTGATCAATAAGGGCGACTAAATTAAATTCGCCCTCTTTGATCAAACAATAAGGGCGACTTAAACAATCGCCCTCTTTGATAAACAATAAGGGGGCGAATTAAAAGAAGTTTTCGTCCTTGCTTGCACAAATAAACAAATACTTCTACTGTACTCCGTAAAACAAACCCCAAAACAAAAAATTGTAAAACCCCTCTCTCTCCTCACAATGCGATAACTACACTTCGAATTCTCCATTGAAGCAAGTTTGAGCTTTCTCGATCCTCCATTGAAGCGAATTTGAGCTTTCTCGATCCTCCATTGAAGCGAATTTGAGCTTTCTCGATCCTCCATTGAAGCAACTTTGAACTTTCTCCTTCATTGAAGCGACTTCTCAGGTAGTATTAAATTATGGACTATCAATTTCACAATCTAGGGTTTATTGCTAGTTAATTGCTCGAATGTTTTTGTTATTGAAATTTAAATTGTGTTTTGGATTCGAAATTTGTTGTATAACATGCTACTTTTGTCGAGTCAAGCAATCTTTCGATTTTTCCTGTTAAAAAATTGATGAAATACCTATAATAATCGTACTTAAATAATCCGGAATGGTGCAAATATAGTGTTTGATGAAATGCCTTAAAGAATCTGGGAAAAAAGAAAAGATTATAGTTTTCAAGTAGTGCAGATAAAGTGTTTGATGAAACGCCTCAAAGACTGTTGATTAAAAAAAAAATTGTTTTGTATGAACAAGTGTTTATGATGCATGATCATTGGAGATAAGTATATGATTAATTAACTCATTATCTGATTTCAAAATGTAATGTATAAGAGTAGTTGATTGCAGTTTGATTACAGATTACTTATTGATTGTGAAGGTATTCATGTTATGTTCAGAGCTGGTTTATGATTTGGTACTTTTCATAAATAAACTCATAATCATTAACCTGTAATCTTTAAGCGTTCCTGTCTTAAGTTTATTGGACTAAATTAGTTTTCGGTTTTGAAGATTGTGAATTATTTAGTATTATCCAACTTTTGGATTTTAATGGACTAGATTATAATTTTTTTTCAAACACATTGTGATTCTTATTTATTTAGAAAGGATAGACAGGCATTGATTATGCTGTGAGTCGGTGAAAGGTCTATCAGTGATAGATTCTCTGTCATTTGAGGGATAGAAAAACATAGGAAGTTGTGCTGAAGATGATCATATAGTCATGGTGTACGAGTTTGTAGAAGGCAGAAGCTTAGCTGCATTATTAGATGATAAAAATTCCAGTTAAACTGATCTATGAGAGCTTCTATATGTCTTGGCATTGCTTGTGGTCTTGAATGTGTTAATGTTTTTTTTGTTGCATTGCGACCTTAGGCCTAGCAATGTACTTCTTGACAATAGTTTCTATTCTAATTAAAGTTGTTGGATTTTGGGATTGCACATGTATTTACTGACTATGCATCAGATGCTATGACAGAATATTCCCAAATAGCATAGGTTATATTGATCCGAAATACATGTTTACTAGACGTTTGAGCTCGGCAATTTGGTCAAGATGGTAGGTTTCTGGAGATAGTTGATCCCACTTTATCTGAATTTTCAGAAGAGGATATGAAATGCTTTTGTGTCTGAGGTTTCACTTTTGCTCTCCGAGTCTCCAGATGGCTGTGGTTTCAATTCGGTGCAAACACTCAAAACATTCCTAGTCCAGCACTTCAAATGAAGTCAAACAGTTGCCATCTTGGTGAGCATTTTCAGCAATTACTTCATTTTTTATTCCCCTTTTTGATCAGTGATGATGCTTTGAGTAATCTCTTAATTGCCTTTGTGGATTCTGAAGGTGCCAATGAACATAATTAACTCATATATACTACGTATTTGATTAAGAATAAGCTTGCTTTATGTGCATATTGTCAATGCTATAAAAGAAAAATTGTGGACAGATTACTTGTATGAAATGATTTTTGACAGAAGAGTTGCAATCCACTTCTGCCTATTTTTCGTAACAATTACGGAGTACGAGTACATGCAAGCATATTTATCTTGATGTTTTTGACAGTCTTGTAATTGGCTTCCGTGTTTTAATTGTGTCCACATGTATGCAATTGATCATGGTAGATTTTTAAAACCATAGAGCTTACTCTTTAATGTATGTTTGAAGTGTCTCACTGTGCTTATTAGAAGATAAACATGTGATCTCTGTAGGACCTTGTTTTTGAACACTAGTGTGTGACAACTAGAACAGATATACAGAAAATTACAAGAACCCCTATTAGAAATTCAACTAAGAAAAATCGAAAAATCAAATTAAATATTCAGAAGAGATCCTCAATCAAGATTTTTTGTCATTTGATTATGCAGTGAGTGGCATAGAATTATAGCCCATGTTTGCGTTCCCAGGTTGTCCGTTGAGGCACCTATTTTAGGGTATACTTCTGTATTGCTCGATTACCGGGTAGGTTGGGACATCTTACGACATACTCCCCTCAAAAAGTTAAAAAGCTACTCTTTGGCCATATGAAATCTGATGATAGTGTGCACATCATGAATGTTTAGGCACTGCGTTTACTTTAAGGGCATGTTATATAGATTATCTGATTAGCTTGAGACTTATTAACTTTATGTAATTATGAATTATGATGCTTATGCCGAGAATTGTAGTGTTTAGTTACATTCCTGAAGCATATTGTAGTCAGTCCTTGATTTCTCCCAAAAAGCTTGGTTGCACTTTCCTGTTAGTTTTTGAGTTTAAATGTTTTTGGTGCCAATAATTGCATTATCTAGTATTTTACATTGCGAGCTGAATTGGAAGTTTCTAAGAAGAAACAAGATGACCTAGACCAAAAACTTCGGTTAGTCGTGGAGAAGATTGGCCTTGATGCTTGATAGAGGTAATATTTTCTAGCTTACTCTTTTCATAAAATTGTCATGTGGATGCATTATCATGCCATGGTTATGTTAGCTTATGTAATTCAGTAGGTATAAGGCATGGTGCTCAGAATGATGCCTTTCTACATGCTGTTATTTTGGCAGTAGTCGATTAGTCAATCAAACATTCCATTTTAGTATCTTATTCTTGAACTTGACTTTTGTGAATTGTAACGTTCCCTTTCTTCTTGAAGAAGATTAACAGTTACATTAAAACCTGCAGGACTCTAAACCGTTTCTTACCTGTTTCTATCAAGTTTGCAGTCAGGGGATCAAGTCAATGTGCTGATGTTTTGGAGATGGACACCAAAAGGCGGGTTGCATTATAGATGGAAAAAAAGGGGATGCTAGAAGCTGCAAGAATGAGAAGATTGCTTGATAGTTCATATCCTAGAAAAAACATTATTAAATTTTAGTACTCTTTGGCTTAGCTATTTGCTATTTAGAAAAACTTGGTTAATACTTTTGTATATATAATGACAAAATTAGAATTTATGCCTATTAAGACCTTTTTTTTTTTCCCTAAATGTACCCTTCTAGAATTCTTTTTTAAAAAAAAACTAAAAATTGAACAAAGAGGGCGACTTTAATTTTGCCCTTAGATTTTAATTAAAGAGGGAAAAATTTTTTGTCCTCTTAGATTTTGATCAAAGAGCGCTAAAATTTTTGTCCTCTTAGATTTTGATCAAAGAGGGCGAAAAGCTTTGTCCTCCTTGATTTATTTTGATCAAAGAGGGCGAAATTTTTTGCCTTCTTTGATCTTAAACAAAGAGGGCGAAATTTTTTGCCTTCTTTGATCTTTAACAAAGAGGGCGAAAGATTATAGTTGCCCTTTGAAGCTAATAGGACGAAGCTAAAAGGGCAACTTAGGGGTGATTTTAAAATCGCCCTCTTTGCCTAATAGGGCGAAATTTTAACCTAAGAGGGGGATTTAAATCGCCCTCTTTGATCTTATTTGTTGTAGTGAAAAGTATTATGTCATCAGCAAAGGCTAAGTTTGAAAGGCTTGGCCCGTTATGACTATATATCCTTAATTTTTTTCCATGTATCAAGAATTATGGATCCTCAATAATATTGTTCAACCTTTCCATACAAAGCACAAAATTAAATGTAAGGTGATAATGAGTCTCCTTGACGCATGGCTCTACTTGGGTTGAAAACTTGAATTGGTTCTTTGTTCCACAACACTCTCATCAAGGAAGAAGAGATACATTCCATTATGACATCCACCAACAAAATTGGAAAATTAATTTCCATCAAAGTGTCCTGGATAAAATCTCATCTAAGCCGATCACAGGCCTTTTCAAAATCAATCTTAATAGCCATATAACCCTTAGAATCTTTCTTATTCCTCATAGAACATGAATAACTTCTTACACAATTACAATGTTATCAGTAATCTATCAGCCAAGCACAAAACTTGTTTGCTAAGAAGAAGTGAGATGCGGCATCATAGGCTTATTCGATTAATAATAGCCTTAGTAATAATTTTATACACAACATTGCACAGACTAATTGGCCGAAATTGAGATGCAAGTTCTGAGTTATCAACTTTTGGGATTAGCACAAGAAAAGTGTCATTTAGATGGCGAGGCAGCCCTTTACTCATCAAAACTTCAAGCACTAATGAATAAACGTTGTTATCTACCAAGTCCCAATTCTTTTGGAAAAATAAGGCTTGAAAGCCATCTAGGCCAGGGGCCTTAATGGAGCCCATTTCCTTAACAACTCTCTCTATTGTTAAACTATTTTAATCCCTAGTGGTAAATTCAGAGAATATGTCCCTTGGTAGGTCCCTCTTGAAAAAGGGTATTATCACTCTCAAAAAGATTTTTGAAATAACTTACAATATTTAATTTTCTTGGACCTCATCCTTCTCAATTAGCCAAGCTCCATCATATTCTGATTTAATAGCCCTAATAAGGTGGAAAAAGTAGTATTACGATATATTTTTGGTAGTTTCCTAATCCTATCAAATTAGGGTTAGCTTGTATTTTTTATATTGGGGTTGAGGCCATTAATAACATTCAAGTCATTCTATTCTATTTTCTCTCTAATTCATCATGGTATTAGAGCCTAAGTTTGTTGGGCCGTTTATAACTTGGCATTTGTCAAGCCACTAGTTAAGGGGCCTCTATTGGATGTTATTCCCAAACAGGATTTATATTGTACCTTCTGGTGTGCTCTAAGTTCTAAAAACACTCACAAGTGAGGGGGAGTGTTGAAACCCATTATAGCCCACTTGTGAATGTCCCACATTGTAGAAAGAAGAGAGGTGGTTCCACTTTATAAGGTAGAGGAGTTACTCCTACTAGTGTCAATTGGTTTTAGTATGGAAGCTCCAAAGCCTTGTTTGTGAACCAAACTCTCCTCCTTATTGTTCAGGTTGCCTACGCCCATTTCATATTGTTTCAAAATTTATCATGGTATCAGAGCAGGTTAATTTTTTTTTTTTCACAATCATGACCAGTTTTCTAGGTAATACAATAATTCCAGAAATCCGTCTTAATGGTAAATTTAACAACACTTGTTGGATTATTGATATCAGTGCAACTCATCATGTCACCGGAAATAAATCTTGGCTATTTGACTCTTACAACATTGAATGCCCGATTGGTTTGCCAAATGGTGATAGTGTACTTGCAACTTTGGTCGGATCTGTTTGTTTGTCTGATAAAATTAGTATATCTGGAGTTCTTTTTGTCCCAAATTTTAATTGCAATTTAATTTCCGTCTTTTAACTCAGTGATCAATTGAAAGATGTTGTACAATTTAACTCGCATATGTGTGCTATACAAGATCCAATGAAGGAGCTAATTGGCACGTGTCTTAGGCAAGACGGACTCTATTATCTTAGCAAACTGGATGGGGTGCAACGTGTGTTGGTGGTTGGAGCGACTTTGGAGTTGGATCTTTGGCATAGAAGAATGGGTCATCCTTCTGAAAAGGTAGTTAAGTACTTCCTCATATTAGCAAAAATAACACTAGTTTAGCAAAAGATCGTGAAGTATGTTTTCGTGCTTAACATTCTAGAGACAAATTTCCTTTGAGTGACAATAAAGCTTCTAGAATTTTTGAAAAAATACACTGTGATTTATGGGGTCCATATCGTCATGTTTCCTCGTGTGGGGCTTGTTATTTCTTGACTATTTCGATCTATTTGCTGCTTGATAAAACTGAGGTTTTTCGGATGTTTATAGCTTTTGTTGCTATGGTTGATAGACAATTTAATCAAAAAATTAAAATTGTCCAGTGTGATAATGGGACTGAATTTAATTGTTTGAACGATTATTTTGTTGCAACTGGTATTCTCTTTCAAACCTCTTGTATTGGGACTCCTCAACAAAATGGGAGGGTAGAGAGAAAACACAAACACATTCTTAATGTTAGTAGGGCCTTGAGATTCCAAGCAAATCTTCCTATTTATTTTTGGGGTGAGTGTGTTTTAGTCGCGACTCATTTGATTAATCATACTCCTACTCCTATTCTACCAAACAAATCTCCTTTCGAAATTCTTTTCAATAAACCTCCTTCTTTTGGTGCTATTCATATTTTTGGTTGTTTGTGTTTTGCACACAATCAAAAGACGAGGGGGGATAAGTTTTCTAATAGGAGTCGTAAATGTGTTTTTGTGGGGTATCCATTCGGGAAAAAGGGATGGAAGCTATTAAATCTTGAAACAAAGGAATTTTTTTTTTCTCGTGATGTGAAATTTGTTAAAGCAATGTTCCCTTTTGGAAGTCCGGATGATGTAAATATTGATGTCAATTTGGGAAATACGGAGGATGAGGTTCATGTGGATTTTGATGATCATAATTTAAGCTATGATGACAATGCTACGGCTGTACATGAAACATATAATAATTTTGTTGACCAAAGTGCATTTACATCTCAAGAAAGGGAGGAAACAATTTCCTCCGCACCCCACCCGCGGCATAATGCTGTTGGCCGCAGGGGGGTGCAGAGTCCCTGCAAATGCCTCTGCTCCGCCATTTCAAGAGAAACATCAGCACGTTGAAGTGCAGCAGCCACCTGCGGCAGAACTTGTACAGTAGCAGCACAAAGGGTAGCTGCCACCTAAGGTAGAAACTGCCCAGTAAGTGCGGTCAGAGCAGCACTCCCTAGGTCCAAAAACTGCCACGGACCAACACAGTGAGTCCGAGCAGCCCTCCCCCCAAGCAGTTTCTAAGGCACAGCAGTCTTCTCGTGAGTTGGGTCGTGGTTTTTGGGATAAATATCCCTTGGTTTTGCTCCGTGATTTTGTTACACACACAGTTGTTGCTAAGAGTCCGTCTCCTAATTCCAATCAGACTCCAGGTACTCTATATCCCCTGGCAAACTACATAAACTGTGACATATTTTCTGTGAATTATCGCAAATTTCTTGCAGTTGTTGTTTTGGGAAAGGATCCAAAATTCTTTAGAGAAGCCATGAAATCTGAAGATTGGCAATGTTTTGTGAAAGAAGAAATACGAGCATTAGAAGACAATGGGACTTGGACTTTAGTGTATCTTCCTCCCGGTAAGAAGGCTCTAGCCAGTCAATGGGTGTACAAGATGAAATTTTTGTCCAATGGTGATGTTGAACGTCTCAAGTCTCGCTTGGTAGTTTTTGGCAATCATCAGCAGGAAGGTATAAATTACAGTGAGACTTTCGCTTCGGTTCCAAAAATGACTACAGTTCGGGCTTTTCTTACTATAGCCGCTACTAAAAATTGGGAGCTTCATTAGATGGATGTTCATAATGCTTTTCTACTTGGTGATATAGAAGAGGAGGTGTACATGAAATTACCTCCGGGTTTTGAGAACTCGAATCCAAACTTGGAGTGTCATTTGAGAAAGTCTTTGTATGGGTTGAAACAGGCTCCAAGGTGTTGGTTTGCAAAACTCACTACGGCTCTGAAAGGGTAAGGTTTTATTCAATCTTACTCTGATAATTCTCTTTTCACATACACTAAAGGCAATGTTAAGATTAATGTCTTAGTTTATGTTGATGATCTTATTATATCTGGGAATAATTCTGATGCATTAACTTTGTTCAAGGCTTATCTTGGTGATTGTTTCAAGATGAAGGATCTTGGTCCTTTGAAGTATTTTTTGGGAATTGAGGTAGCTCATAGTAAATCTGGATTTTTTTGTGTCAACGCAAATATACTTTGGATATTATTTCAGAAGCAGGGTTGTTAGGGGCAAAGCCAAGAGGCTTTCCGATTGAGCAAAATCATAAGCTTAGCTTTGCTAGTGGTGAGCTACTTGCTAATCCTGAGTCTTATCGTAGACTGGTAAGACGGTTAATTTATCTCTTGGTTACTAGACCAGATTTGGTGTTTTCTGTTCATATTATCTCACAATTTATGCAAGAACCTCGCATTGAGCACTTGGAGGCGGCTCTGAGGGTAGTTCGTTATTTGAAGGGAACCCTAGGATAGGGTATTTTATTGAGTGTAAATAGTGACCTGACTTCGCAAGGTTGGTGTGATTCAGATTGGGCGGCATGTTCTCTTACTCGTCGTTCGTTGACAG